CTGAAGATGAACACCAAGGCGATCGCTGGTTAGAAAAGAACTATAATTGAATGCGATGAGGAAAAATAGCTCACAAACGATCATTCCTTGAAACAAATAAACAACATCTGCAAAGCAAAAGAAAACAAGGACAAAACCCTGTTCTAGACGAGTAAAAAACTAAAAATACATAATATACGTTTACAGAAATGAACATCACTAAGTCGCATCTGAGAAAGACAAGATTTTGCAGATTCAGCACAGAAGCCCCATTCTGTTTAAGGAAATCTGACGCAAACAGTGAGGAACTATGAACATATCTGAACCTCTTTATGAAACTAGTTAATAGTAAACCTGTATACCGTAAAGAAATAATACCTGCAAATCTTCATTTATTGGATTATCACGGATGTGATCTTAGACGTATACGACGATTTTCTGTTTTTCATACATGAAAAAGTGATAAATCTGAAAAGTTCAAAAAGTTTTACAAAATGTACCAGCTGTCAGCGATAAACTATAATTCAATATACTGCAATGATATACAGCAACGTCCATGGAGTTCCTTGTACTGAAATAATGACCCATCTGGACGGAAGCACTGAGACCAGCATTCACACGGTGTCTCAATGATGAAATAAATTTCACAGACATATTTGCGTTCCGTGGTGTCCATCTGGTTCATAACTGCATTAACATCAGTGTTTTACCATTCTAGCGGAAAAGGAGTAGAATAAAAGCGATCACGGCTTTAAATAAGTTACTGCAAATCACATGTTGGATTATTTTAAACGCGTCAAGTAGATCAGTTTCAAGTTTCCGGGCACAGAGCACAAAAGAGCCATTTCATAAAACGATTAAAGAATCTCGAATAAATCAAGCGTAGCAGTGGAATGATAGAAACTAAGTTGAATAGGAGGATTGCACCAGTGTGCAATCGAGCCTCTTTCGCAACCTGCCTGACATCTCCGCTCGAAAAGAAATACCGGATATAAGAAATGCAGAATAACTCATGCCTTCATTAGATTAGTTTTTCCGTATTGCATGGAGACGGTAAAGAAACTTCGCTTCGGAGTATGTGGCAGGATTACCTACGACTGGTTCTGACTTTTATCTTTATTGATATTTACTGATACAGTGATCAAGAAAAGAGGCTCGGCCCACTTAGACAAATTTACCCCCCCCCCATGTCATTGACTCCAATC